AGGGAAAGAAGATGGAAATGTTTATGAAGGAATGAAATCCCAAATTTAGCTATAATACAGTCACATTGAACAACCCCACAACAACCCAAACCTGGATTTGAAGGAATGATATCTGTGGCTGAAAGCAACCAAACATCAGCCTTTAGTGGACACTGACATCTCTGCTCAGATTGACAAGTGTGCTATTTAAGTGTCTATTGCCTTGTCCTCCCCACCCACCCTTGCCCATTTCTGTTTTAATTAAGGTTCATCTGTACCAGTTCTTTTCATATAGACTAATCAACCCTCTGACAAGAACCACTATAAATACCGCTGACCAAGGAAGTATAGAACCTCTCTGTCCAACTGCCACAGCAGTGATTCTCAACCAAGGTACCACAGCTCCCTAGGATGCCTTGAGATCCTTTTCAAGGGTGCTACGTGCTACCATGAAAAGTTAACACTGTTAGGTGCGCTAACATTTCACAAGCTGAACCCAGAGGTTTCAAATAAGGACCCAGAGCATTGCTAAATACGTTGTGACCTGTTGTGCTCTGAGTTCCTCGTAACAGAAGAATTGCTCTGTATTTTTCTGTAGTAAAAAAGCATATGAAAACTAAGCTGGCATTTTCTGACAAGTGCCTTGAATCTAACAAGGGGTGTCTTGAGTCTAAAAATGTAAAGAACCACTATAATAGAGAGTGTATATTGCCTTGGTGATCGTCTGCCTACTTTACAGACTATATACTCTTCTAACCAAAACCAATTTGGAGAAAAACAAAAATCTGTTAGGAAATTGATGCCAGTAGTAGACAAAGAAAAGACTGCAGGATGGTAGCTATGGGGCTGTATATTTGTGTATGTATTTGTAATACATATACAGTTGCATATGCATTAAGAATGTAGGTTTTACATCGAACTATGCTTTCATGAATTCAGCTTTGCTACTAATTTTGAGGCAATGTTTGAGACTTTATTCAGTGATTATACCCTTTTTCCTGACCAGAGACAGCTTCTCTGAGCTTTTAAGGGAGGGATCTAACATGCGAGGAAACAGCATCCACAGCCAGGGGCCAGTAAGCAAGCTACTTATGTCTGCACCCTTCCTTGACCTTCTGCCACTTACAACCCACCCCCTGCTTTTGTTCATAGGCATCTCTGGACCAGACTGACAGATAATTTTCTACCTCTGATGCCAGTAGCAGTAGTAGAAAGGGCAGCTCAAGATGCAAAGATGATAAGCTTATTGGGTGTCTATACATGCGCTATGCTCCGGAGGTAGAGGCACTTTAAATTAGAGCAGCTCTGAGA